CCATCCATGTGTCAACTTCTTATGGTGTGTGCCCTAAGATTTGTCCATGTGTAAAGTAGAAAAAAATGGACGGCCGAGATCGCATCTTTTTCCCGAAGGGCATTTTTGGAATTTTGAAAAATCAAAGCCTATAAATACCCCCTTTCATGAACAATTCGGCCAAAGAGGTTTGCATGAGAGGGAATGTTGTGTTCTTGAGTTCTAGGAGAGAGAAAGGAAGAAAGAAGAGAGAGAAAGGGAGAAAGCAAAGTTAGACACCTCTAATCGCCGATTAAGAGCTAATTAAGGTACGTTTACCTCCCTAAGTGTTAATTATTTTTAGTTAATTATTTATTTGAGGAAGATTAGGATTAGTTACCTTGATTAATTATGGTTTAGTGATAGCTAAGATTAATCATGTTATTTGATTAAAGATTAGTAAGTAATTAAGGTTAGCTACCCTGATTAATTAGTAATTAGTGATTAGTTATGCTAATTGAAGGATGATTAATCATGATTAATCATGTTGATTAAGGAATGATTAAAGGTTAATCATGTTGATTAGAGAATGATTAATGGTTAATCCATAAGGGATTAGTGACTTAATCTTAGAAGATTATGTTGTACTAATGACTATGTGACTTGAGGACCTTAATTAAATATTGGATTAAGGATTAAGGGTTAATGATTAACCAAGAAAACATGATTAATCATGGATTGAGGAAGAATTCCAAGACCTTAACTGAGGATTAAGGCTTGGTCAAACCAAAGTCAAAGGATTAGGAAAGGTATACAGAAATTATAAATTGAAAGGCACAAGGGTAGCATTATATAGAGAAAGAATTGTATACTAGATATGGAATTTACCATACCCTTACTGTATGGTTGATAGGCAATTTTCTGGAAACCTAGGAGGATCTCAAGCAAGGGAACAAGGAGGAAACATTAAGCGTGGAATTGAGGTAGCGTGAACTTGCAATTATTTTGTTGATCTGCATTTGGTGTTTCTGCTATGTGTGTTTATGTGCCATGAGAATGTTTATGCCCAGATGATGTGAACTCCTTGCAATGTATGCCTTGGCTCTTGCATGATTGAGTTTTGACCAGAATGATTATATGCTCTATGATATGATGACATGGATACAGAATGGTTATGGCATGGCATAAAGACTAGCAATGTTATTTTACTGCATGTAGCATGACATCTTATGCATGTTAACCTGATGGTTGTATGTTCAATGCTACTGGGATTTCTATGAAATCTCATTCCTCCTACAACATGATATTCTAGGTGCCACTACTTCCAAGGATAAGGGAAAAGAAATAATCATGGCTTGAGAAAGTTATTAGTTATGTACTGTATTATACGGTTTTGAACCTTTCTCTTTCAAGCCATGTAAGCATATTCTGATCATGAACACATGATATGATAACCTTTTTGAATGTATATTAATGGTAGAGCACCTTTATATGTGGTTATGGTATGCTTATAGTAAAAAACGAAATGGTGCTAGAATTAGTGAAAAAGGGGATAAAAATGGTCTAGATTTGACCAAACTTTGACCAACGAAGACCCTGGTCAAATGATTGACTTTTTCCCTGAAATTTGGCATGAAAATAGATCTTATTTTTCCCTTTAAAATGAGTGGTAAAGCGTCACAATCGGATCTCTGTACAAGAAGTTATGCCTGTTCAAAGTTAGGCAAAAATCCTGGAAAATAGAAAAATGACCAAATAAACAGTACTTTTCGAAATTAAAAACGGATGCGTTTCTGATTAAAGTGGAACCTGAGGTCATTTTTCCTTGATATATGATGTTAAGAGCTTCGAGTGAGACTTGGAACGACCTTATTTCGATTTTTCTAGAATTAGTTACGATTTTCCAAAGTTATGTCAAGTTTAAGGTTACAATGAATAGTAATGCGGGAAAAGAAATTTTCAAATTCAGATTTTTCAACCCAGTGACCTTAAATTGCGCTTCCGAATATCTTAACTTGACACAATATAAGGTCGCAAACGTAAGGTGTTACATAGAACGACTAGGGCTGGTAAAACGGGCCAACCCACGGGTTGCGGGTTGGCCCGTGACTGGTTGCAAGTTACATGGTGCAAGCTCAAAAGGCCCGTTTTCTGGCGAGTTGGTATTTTGCCAACCCTAACCCACCAAGATGGGTTGGCCCCATCCCGCCAGAATTTTTATTTTTATTTTTGCTTTTTTTAAAAAATTTTAAAAATTTTCTTATTTTTTTAAATGTTAGTAGTTATATATAATCAAAAATAAAAACACTAGAAATTATATAAAATATTACAAACATCCAAATAAAAATTACAACACAATAAAATACAAATAGTATATGATTGTCCAATTTCCTAACATGATAATACACAAGTTCACACATTTTTTTCCAATGAAACCAATGAGCAACATTGAATAACCCTCTTTATCCAATGAAGTTTTAAGTGAAATTTTGCTTTACTTTTGCCTTTATTATTTATTCTTTAAAAAAAAAGGTGAGTTAACCCACGGGTTGGCCCCAAGGTTGTCGGCCCAACCCCCCGTGAGTTCGGGTTATGGCGGTGCGGGTTATATTTTTGAAGGTAGTGGCGGGTTGGCTTTTAGCCAACCCTAACTTGTCATTTTTGGCAGGTTGGCGGGTTGAACCCATGGGTGCAACCCATATTACTGACTCTAAGAACGACTAGTAGTACCTGTGGTGGTAAACATGAAGCAAGCCAAGAGAAATGCAAGTTAAAAAGCAAAGCCAATAGACCTAATGATTGATGCTGCCACAGGCTCAATTTTCCACGCTAAATAGCTGAGAGGAGTGGAAGAGAGGGAGAAGAGGAAGAGGAAAAAAGAGATGATGAGAGAATTTTTTTTTTTTTATCAAATGGGGTATTTTGATCTTTTCCCCAATATTTCATAATTCATATTTAAAACTCGGTCTTTAGCAACAATTTTGTGAATTAAAAAACCCAAATTACAATTTATATTTCAAGGTTTTTATTTACGATTTTTCTTTTTTATCTTAATTTTTATATTTTTAATTTTATTTTTATATAAATTTTATTTACATATTTTTATGTAAAATATTTTTTGTCAAAATATTAAATGACTAATATAAATTTAAATTTGTATATATAATTAGACTATTTAATTCTCTAAAAATTGTCAAGAAAAAAATTTCTCAAAATATTCTAATAATTTGATATTTTATTTCTTACATGTATACTACCTTCAGTCCTTAATATAAGAGTTAGTTTGATCCTAAATATAATATTTTAATTTACTTTGTCTCTCATATTTATTTATTTTTTAAGTAGTCTTTATAATAATTATACATGTTAAAAATTTCATCAAATGGTAATTCTAGCTAATATACATTATTAACAAGAGTATTCTATGAAAAACGATACCTATTTATGACAAATAACTAACTTAATAAACTTTCTTAAACTACTCAAATTAGTCAACTAACTTTCATATTAAGAACCGGAGATAGTATTATTATCCATATTTAACATTATTTTTAGATTAATAATTATGTTACCAATTGAACTGAATGATTTGACCAATTCAACCGTTTGAACTGTAATCCGCTAACTTTTTTGGTGCGACTTTCAGTTCGGCTTTTAAAATATTGTAGAAATATCCTAGGGAATAAATTATGGAATTTATTTTTAGTTAGGCCGTGAAATGGCCCAAAATTCCTACAATAAAAGTAGAAGTCACAAAAATGAAGCCCAAGCCCATTTGATGAGGGCGAGGGCGTGGTTAATGATCAGTAATTGCAGAAGCGGTTGTTCAATTTGCTTGCCCCAAGTTATAAGGAAAGGTAGATATTTGTGGAATCAAATTTTGTGGCAAAAAAAAAATTATTAATTTGCACGTTAAACCAAGATTTAAATTCTTGCTAAAAAATTTGCTCACATTTAATGCATGATAGTACCTTGAAGAAGATTTCTACTAATAAAGAGATACGTGTGCTTAGTGAAAAAATATTATTAATTTGTGCCAAAAAAATTATTAATCGTGGTTAATAATCCCAGTTTAAACGTTCACCATCTCCCAATGTTGTCGGTCATTTTTCGGCAGCTGAAACGCAAAGGAAAAACATGAGTCAAGGAGAGAAGAGCGGAGTATTAGAGAGAAATGATCATGGACAAAAACTCCACTATAATCCCACTAAAGATGCTTCTTAAATCACTCTTAGTAGAATTTGTCGGTCTGCAATATTTAGAAGGTAAGGAGAAAAAGTTTTTCATAATCCTATTTATAAATTACTTCATTAAATTTTTAATAGGAGTGTACTATTATGTCTTTCATTTATTATGATATAGATAATTATTTCTTTTGAAATATGTATATATTAATTATGGGCAAAGTTGAAAATTTTTTATATTTTAATGAAGAGTTAATGTAGTTTAACATTTTTCTTGGTTTATGTGAAATATACTGAAAATGCTTTATATATAGGGCCAGAGGAATAGGCACCATTTTGAAAACAATTCATGCTTATTTGTTAATTTCATCTGTATATTTAATGCTAAATATGACTCTTTTCTTTCTCTCCTTCAAAATATCATTTAATATGATAAAGCTGAAAAAGAAAATTCAATTTGAGAAAAATGTAATGAGCTAACTGTCATTTTTTTTATCTTAATAAATTAATTAAAGTAACTTAAATTGCAGACTAGAGAGATATGGGTAGATTTTATATTTATTTAATTTAATTTATATATTTATTTTCAATTTAATTATCATTGTAAAAAGTAATCATTCTATAAAATTTCCTCACATTTTTTTTTGGGAAAATGACAGATAAAGCCACTCCAATATATACAATTCCAGTTTGGGTCCTGGAATTGTAGAAATGACAGATTGGGTCATTGACCCAATCTGTCATTTGTATAATGAGGGCAAATGGACAAATTCGCCCTTCTGATGTAAAAGCAAAAAGAATTATACTGAAGCAAGGAAATGTCGATGACACTTATGGCTCTGTAGAATTATAATGCAGAAAGGTGGAGAACGTTGGACGGTGGGACCTTGGAAGGTGGTTGAAGCAAGCAAGGTTAGTAATTTCTCACACCACAGTTATCGTCTATTCATCCTGGGGTCTAATCACGGTGGTTTTGTTCTTCATTTTGAAGTATTGTGATTGTGGGTATGGTTGGGTAGACGTTCTTGGTCTTGAAATCTAAATGAGGTTGAAAAAAGCAAGTGAAGTAATTTTGTGCACCACAATCTTCGTCTTTTCATCCCCTACCATGATCATTTATCAATATGGGTCTATCAACGTTTTCTCCGACGAAGCTGATACAGTAAATGGGGTTACGTACAAAGGTCGAAGCATGCGTACTTATAGCGTTTCGTTGGTATAGTGAAGTTCGTATTTTTATTTGCCTGAGCTGAAGCATTTATCCATAGGGGTTTGTTGCTTTTTGGTAGGGTTTACAGTGATTAGTGTTGGGGAATGGAGGATTGTTTTTGGGAGAAAGTCGAAGCTGATTGCATGACATTGAAGTTTGAGGCATGACAGTTATGATAGGGTAGATATTATAGTTAATAGCTAATGTTAAAGTGTGAAAGCATAAACTAAAGTTGTTAATGAGTGAAGAGGTACTGTCATTTATCTTTATTTAAAGAAGTGAGAAAATATCATTATCGGTGAACTAACGTAATGATTATTCAATTGTTTCAGCTTGGCTTGCACAATGAATTGTAATATTGGCTCCACTCCTGGGAAGGAATTATTTTGTTACTTTCATGTAGATGGAGAATTTGTTATTAGTCCTGAAGGTCAAGTTAGATATCATGGAGGCAGAGTACATGCAGAAACGATAAAAGATGGAATGACACTTGAAGATTTAAGGGCAACTATATCAGAATGCAGTGGTTATGATGGTAGCAGTTGGGACATGAAGTATACTGTCAAGTATGATGAGAGGACATTAATTAATCTTGTTGATGATAGCGGAGTTAGAAATCTTTTTGTGCATAATGACATCATTGCGCATGTGTATGTATCATTGAAAGGCAATGAGACTGAAAGACATAAAATCAATGATCAAGAAATGTAAGTTATAAATTTCTTCTGGTTGAAGTTGTTATTTGTTGTGCTAATGTAGTTAATGTGGGAACAGATATTGTTAATATGCTAACAATTGTAGTTATCGTGTATGCAGAATTGAGACAGAACCACATGAGATGACTGATGCGCAAATGTAAGTAAAAAATTTTTTGCTGGTGTAAGTTGCTATTTGCTGTGCTAATGTAGTGAATGTAAGAACAAATGTTGTCAATATGCTAACAAATGTAGTTATCGTGCATGCAGAATTGAGACAGAACCACATGAGATGACTGATGCACAAATGTAAGTAAAAAAATCTTTACTGGTGTAAGTTGCTATTTGCTGTGCTAATGTAGTGAATGTAAGAACAGATGTTGTGAATATGCTAACAAATGTAGTTATCGTGCATGCAGAATTGAGACAGAACCACATGAGATGACTGATACACAAATGTAAGTAAAAAAATCTTTGCTGGTGTAAGTTGCTATTTGCTGTGATAATGTAGTGAATGTAGGAACAGATGTTGTCAATATGCTAACAATTGTAGTTATTATGTATGCAGATCCGAAATTGAAAGATGGTTGGGATTGTCACGCCAGGAAATGGCTGTATCTTATATCAGTTTGGGAAACGATTATGAGCATGTGAGTCATGAAAGTACTGCTGAATGCATTCCTTATCAAGTCTCAAGTGGCTCACATGTAGGCAGTGATGGCCCGCATGAAGGCCCAAGCTCCAGTGGAGGGAATGCAGTGGCACAAATTACTGAGATGAACTATAGTAAATGGTTGGAACTTTTTACAGGCGTGGGGCAGAAAATTGCACATGCTGGTTTGTTTAGGGAGTATTTGTACAAGTTTAGCATCGCACATAACTTTAAGCTTAAATTTTTGAGGAACAGCAAGAGAGAATGTCTGTCATTTGCAAAGTGGAAGGTTGTCCATGGAAAATATGTGCAAGTGCATTGGGGAAGAATGTTCCATATCTTCGTGTCACCACATTCATTAATGAGCATGTCCATAGTGCCCAAGATAATTTGCAAGTTAGACAGTGTGCAAGATCTAATATGACATCCTGTATAATTATCGATGTTGTGGAACTTTTCCATATCGTCAACAATTGTTCCCTTCTGCTTGTTCTTTTTCTTTGGCTGCCCACTAACATATACGTTCAGTGAATCCAGCACGTAGAAGTTCATGACCTTCGGCTCCAGCACAAAGCAGAACCAGTGTTGGTCTACAAGTGCTGGTCCCAAAATCAAGTCACAATCCCCAATGTTGTAACCAACATGTTCCTCTTGTAGTTCCTTCTTGCTCACTGCAACACTCCACCCTGGACTACAAAGTTTGGACTGCAAAATATGACACTATAAGCATATTGACGTAAACTATTGCTGAAATTAAGTAATATTACAGCAATCTTACCATCAAGTAGGCATCAAATATGTGTCGTCTAACTTGTCCACCCCCCTCTTTTATTTCTCCCATCAGCATGTGGCACACCATTGACATGACCTGTTTGACACATGAGAAAATTTTTAAGTTTCAGCTTGCACAACATCTGTTATACACAATAGCTAATCAGGTGGAGATTTCATTACATGGTTACTAACTCTATGCATTCCACCCAATGACCTTAGATCATCACGAGTTACATGGAAGTCATACAACTCAACCAACCTCCTGCAGATCAAGTAGTCATTTTGCTTACACAGGCCACAAAAAGTTTCATTCACATTTATTTAATAGCAATAAAAGGCTTACTTGTCACCATCAGCTGAACTGCACATTTTGGAGACAGTGATGAAAAATTTTTCCTTGTCATCCATCTTCCGGTTTGTTCTCTTCACAACCTTTGGCACAACCCAGGGAGACTGTAGTTTTGGGGCGGGCTTCATCGGCCTTTTCGATCTTCTTACTTGTTCTGCCTTGTCCGGTACTTCCTCTTCATCCGATGCTCCTCCTTCAGCATCTGGGTGAATGATGGTGATAGGAGATAATTGCAATGCTACTTGTTCAATATCTTCCTCTTCACCTTCTTCCTCCTCAATATCATGCTCAGAATCTTCATTTTCTCCATCACCATCCCTGTCCTTCGCACCATCATCTTCTGCATCACCATACCTGTCCTTCTCACCATCATCTTCTGCATCACCATCCTTGTCCTTCTCGCCATCATCTTCTGCATCACCATCCTTGTCCTTCTCGCCATCATCTTCTCCATTAGCTTCACCTTCAAGTTGTTCTTCCTCATGGGGCCGTACATGCCTTTTATTGTTAGATTTCGGCCTGTACTCCCTTCCCAGCTGTACCTTCATCAGCTCATTGTCAACAATAGCCACAAGTTTGTTGCTATTTTCTCTAATCATCCCCACCAACCTCTCACGCAAATCCTTCAACTCCTATAGGAAACCAAAAAAATTTTCAGTATGTATTGTTATTTCAAAAATATTTGAGAAGGTTACAGAAGTTTGTAAACATGACATATTACTAAATAATATAAACAAAATCACTATTTAACAAGGTTGCCTTTACCGGGTCTAGATAAGGTACAGATTCGCTTCCTCCCTTATTATCAGGCACTCTAGCACGCCCTTCTGAATAGAGAAGTCCAATACGGCTCTTTCTTTCTTTATTACTCATTTCGTTGACCCTCTTATCCGTCCAGAATGATATGGCCTCAGTGTGGTCATGCTTTGCACTTTCAGTTATAGGAAAATACTCAAGCAAATATAGCTGTATCACCAATTAAATGACATTAACACTGTTACAGTGGCAAAACAATAACTAATAAAAAAAATGCATACCAGTAACAGGTATATGCATCCACCAACATTGCAGCTGCCATCCTGCTTCCTCACAACCCTCAAATAATCTTCCATCTCCTTCGACAGCTCTTGCACCACAAACGTAGCCCAATCATATTCCACAAATGAATCCTTTGTTGCAGCCACCACCTTTATTAGTCGCTCACTTACTCTTCCACTAGAAGTGGGGCATAACAGAGTTCCAAGTGTGTGGAGCATAAACAACATTTTAAATTCATCACCCTTCTTTTGTCCAGATGTTATCACCTTCAAAATATCTGTATAAGACTTCTGGAAATAATTAAGCCTAAGGCTTATAAATGCAGGGTCGTCCTCAGTAACTTCAGATGTCACCTCCCTTCTCCCAACATGGGGTATGCCTAGGAGCATTTGCACATCTACTGCATCCAGTTTTCTAGACATTCCCCTAATGAGAAATTGCTGCGTTGGTGGATCATATGAACGCATCATAGCAGCACAAATGTCTCGAGGGAGTCTACGAAGTCTCAACTCTAGCAACCTTGACAACCCCATTGCTTGAACCTCGTCTTTCAGATCCTTGTTGTCCTTAACATACGCTGCCAAGGAAATGAACTGTCCTAGTGCACTACGACAATGAAAAGGAAGCTGGTAGTTGCTCGTTGTTGCCTTTGGTGGCCTTGTTTTCTTTGCCTCATCTTTATATCTTTGTCTCTCTGATTCAGGCAGTTCTTTCCATGCCTTTGTCACTGCTTTAGTGCATTGGGTCACATTCTTGAACTTCTTCTTACACTTATTCATAAACTCAGTTCTAAACAGAAGCAACCCGCTCCTCACAGGTTTAGATGGACCTTGTTCATCAGCTGACATATTTGTTATCCTGCAATAGCCATCAATTTTCATCAACAACCATCATCACCTAATCCCTTCAAACATTTCTATAACAAGAGAACAAACCGAACGTCTCCAGTTGTAGACATGCAGGAAACCAGTTCAATTTCAATGACGTTTGCTCCAGATACAAAAATAAATCCTCAACAATTCAAATACATGATCTACGATGACTTAATAAGGAGCAGACCCAATTAGCAATCTTTTTGCTTGAACTGATTGTTTTTGCAACATGCATAGAAATAGTGGACTCTAATAATCAAGGATACATTATTTCCCTCCACCCTCACTCAGCAGCCATGCTTGACATAGAAGAACGACCTTAGATACTCTGTTCTACGGGTCTGTCTACTTCCAAAATAGTGATGCCCAAGCAAAATGATGCAATTGAACAATTATATATATTCATGTCAAACGAAATAGTTCAACCTTTAACAGAAAAAATTATACCCACAAGACAATGCAAATTAGAACTCATTCGTAATGATCAAAACACTTTAAGAGTGAGTTCATCAACAATAGCCAGAAAAAGTTCGGAATCCCCACAACATCAGTTCTGTAATCTCTATATTCAAATTACTTCCTCTGTAACAACCTCGCCACCTTGCCGCTAAAAGAACTTAGTGTCATTTTCTCAGATTTTTTCAGGAACAAAATTTTTTCCAACCGAATCAACAAACGCTCGCGATAACAGTATACGCAGAAAAACAGATTAACTACAAATGAAATGAAACAATGTTATTCGAGCCGAGAAAGAAATGAACGGAGAGAACCTGAATAAATTCTTTCACAGCCACTGAATGAAGGAAAGAAATGAGCGCCAATGCCCTAATTTCCCTTCTTCTTCTACCACCGGATTTGCTTCTTCTACCACATGCGACTGGCAGCCCTTTTCTCCCTTCCTGAAATCTGCCTTCTTCACAGAGAAAAATCGCTTCCTCCACGGTCTCGTTGCTTCCCGCCTCTTGCTCTGTTTCTATTTTCACTCAGCCGTCGCAAATTTGTCCTTGTTTAAAATTGAAATAAGGGCGAATTTGTCCATTTGCCCTCATTATGTAAATGACAGATTGGGTCAATGACCCAATCTGTCATTTCTACAATTCCAGGACCCAAACTGGAATTGTATATATTAGAGTGGCTTTATCTGTCATTTTCCCTTTTTTTTTGGTAGGAAACCTAAAATAAAGGAAAAATGAAAAAAAATATATAGAAGGGATGGGGTAATCAATTGCAATTCTCTCCAAAATTTAGAAGGGAGGAGGACCAATTAATGGAATGGACTTTTACTTGTAATTTTTACTGAAAAAGATAGTTTTGTTGTGGTGGTAAAATTGTTCTTAAGCTGAACAATTTCAATTTTTTTATTTAAAAAAGAGGTGTCAAATGCAGAACTTATTTTTTTATAATTTATATGAATGATTTCTTTAAAAATCTTAAACTTGTTGATTTTTATTATTGTATTTTGGTAAATACTTTCTACCATGTAACAATTTCAGCAATTTTTTGTTTGTTTGTGGAGTTTGGATATAAATGTTAGATGTCACCTAGTATAAAAGTAGGAAGAGGAAGAAATTGAATTCACGAAGTCTAATTCACGAAGTATAAGTATGACATGTTGAGTTATACCTAGTTTATTTTTGTTGGATTAAGGCTCAAGCCCATTTAAATAAATGGGTGAGAATATTTTTTTTTAATTGCCAAGATAAATTAAAAAAATTAATTTATTTAATTAAACTATGGAAAAATTGTAAAAAAGACTCTTGAAATAGCAAAATTATGAAATAAACACTTGAATGAACAAAATTGCTGACAGATAACGGGTCTTCAATATGAATTATAAAATGTTAGGAAAAAGACTAAGATACCCTCTTCTTTTTTTCTTTGTTCCACCTCGTCCTCTCCCTTTCTTCTTCTCTTTCCCTTTCTCTCTCTTCGTCATTCTCTTTCCCTCTCCTCTCCTTCTCCCCTAACCCCACTTCCTCATCCCCAGCCCTTCTTCGATGCCACCCCATCTCTTCCCACTTTCTCATTCTCTCTTCTTCCTCTATGAAAAGATTGTTGATACAAGATGGAGCTCTTTGCAAATATTGCCCCACTACCGCTAAGAATTTCATGTTTGTTTTTTGTTTAAGTTATGATTGCTTTTCCTTATTCTCTAGCTTGTTTCCTTAGAAATTTGACAGAAACTTAAAGTCTGAAACTACTTCTTCGAATGACCAAACTTTGATGGCATCTTTCAGACCCATGATTGATCATGGTAGAGTATGATAGATTTTTTTGTTTTATCATACATAATTAGTAAATCTAGACGTAAATCTAAACTCTATTCTGATGCCATACATTAGTAAGCTGTCAATATCATTAATTTTATTCCACATTATTGATAATACCCTTATCCTAAATAGATGTAGAACATAGATGCAATGCTACCAAGAAATCTCGCATCGTCATCTTTTTTTGTGGTTTCTTTGGACAGTTTGGTAATCAAGGCAAACACATCCATTCATATATGGAAGAGAAATGTCAAATGAACTTATTTGATCTTTAGTTGAGTTTTGCTAACCTGAGAAGATAAAAGGGTGCTTATTTATTGATGCTTGCAAAATATTGGTAACACCTGTATAACAAAAGGTACTTCAAAATGGTTTTTTTCTCTCATTGGATTTACGTAAATGTTTCTCTCACTATTCACTAGTAAATGAGAACATCACTATGGGGATTTAACATGTTTAGTAATAGAAATATCAACTTTGTTAAGTAATTGGAAAAACCAATATAAATATGAGAAATTGACATGTTTATAATAGAAAATAATAACTATATAATTGAAAATAACAAATTTGTTAAGTGGTTGGGAATAACAAGCTGAGTAAGACAAATTAACAAGTTTTGTATAGGAAATAACAAATTTATAATTGGAAACAATAAGTTTAGTAAGTTGTTGGGAATAACAATTTGAGTATGACGAATCAACAAGTTTTATATAGAAAATAACAAGTTTATAATTGGAAATAACAGGTTTGCTAAATAGTTAGGAATAAAAAGTTGAGTAAGACGAATTGACAAGTTTTGTATGGGAAATAATAAGTTTATAATTGGAAATAACAAGTTTGGTAAGTTGTTAGAAATGATAAGTTGAGCATAATGAATTGACAAGTTTTTATATAAGAAATAACAGGTTTGTTAAGTAGTTGAAAATAATAAGTTGAGTAAGACGAATTAACAAGTTTTGTATAGAAAATAACAAGTTCATAATTAGAAATAACAAGTTTGGTGAGTTATTGGGAATAACAAATTGAGTCATATAAATTGACAAATTTTGTATAGAAAATAACAAATTCATAATTGAAAATAACAAATTCAAGTTTGGAAATAACAAGCTAATGTTAATGAAGTAACAAGGCTTTTGTTTGAAATAACAAGTATTAATAGAGTTGTTCTTAGTTAGTTACTAGATGTGGTAGTTAATGATTGTATGGGAAATAATAAGTTATGAAAAGCAATTCATATTAACTTAAATTTTACCTACAAATGACATTATTTTCATTAGCTAATGACAAATGTAGTATGTCAAATAACAAGTCATGAATGCCAAATAGTTTTGAAAAACTATTTACAACAACTTAAGTTTTAGCATAAATTAGTATTATTTAGTTTTTGCATGCCAAATAACAAGTGGTGAATGTCAAATTACCAATTTAGTATTATTAATTGTTTTTCCCAGTGTGGGGCTAATAGTTTTCATTGCGGCCATCTCATAAAAAACCCTTTTCGCTCCGCTTAGCCCTACTTTGCCAGAAATTTAGGCATCTCAATTAAATCAAATTAGATACTAAAAGGATAACACTTTTGACCTCCGTTTCCTTAGGTATACCATCGGTAAGTTTGTGTTCTTTTTTTTTTTTTTTAATTACTAATTGTAGGTCTATGCGATACTAAGCAAGGTTACACACAACTCGGTGGTCCATGGCCATTTGGAGTCTCATTTCTTTTTGCTGGCTGGGACAAAAATTATGGCTTTCAACTTTACATGAGTGACCCTATGGAAATCATGGTTGTTGGAAAGCTGCAGCTATTGGTGCAAATAACCAGGCAGGATAGCCAATATTCAAGCAAGATTACAAGGATGATATCACAAGGGAGGAAGTTATGCGGCTTGGACTTAAAGTTCTCGGTAAAACTATCGACAGCACAAGTTTGACCTTTGAGAAACTTGAACTCGCTGAGGTTTTCCATTCTTATGTTACCTCGTTTGTGAAAGCTTATGACGCCGAACATGTTAATTATGATGTTTATGACAGGTGCCAATAATTACCAGGAAAATCTGTGAACCATTAGAGGCGAGGAATTCAGACGTAGTCGGGCTACTCTGGGGAATTGTTGCAATATTTAAGAGCTTAATCTTCAGCTACGTATTTGTGCGCTGACAATGGTTGAGAGCTTCTGGATTGGAAGAAAGAGAAGGAGATGGGGTGAGGAAGACAATGGCCGAGAGCTTCCGGGTGAGAAGAAAGAGATGGCGTGAAGGAAAAAAAGAGAAGAGGAATATTCTGGTACTTTTCCTAACATTTCATGATCTATATTTAAGACCCGGTTTTTAAGAGCAATTTTATTAATTCAAGTACTTATTTTTGTAATTTTGTTATTTTAAGGGTCCTTTTTTGTATTTTTTCTTAAACTATCTAGTAACCGTAAGGGGAATTATGGGATAAGATATGGGAGTTTTAGTTTTGGGCGAGTGTATGCAAAACAGTCTCTCTACGCCCCCTTCTCTCGCCATACACCCTTCCTCACCGGGGAGTTTCCTATACATAACGTGATTGGTGTCCAATCGATCCTTCAGTTTCTTCTTATTATAAAAAGATTAATCAGTTAAAAAAACTACATTAAATCCCTGGTCAAAAACAAATTACATTAAATATTCCAATCGATCGATTAATTCATGCTAATCCCAATAATGATTAAATTTAACAAATTTAACCTAAAATCTGAATCATGCTCATAAATTTAAGAAAGCTTGTACAAATATTTACAAATCACCCCGAACTATATCATCGTCATTAACAATAATTGGAATCTTCGCCTACATAGGATCTGAACTATATATATTCGTCATCAACAAATATCACCATTAGATACAAACTCAAATTATAGGGCACTGATTAATTTGTATTTTAAAACAGAGGATGATTAGATAGATGTAACATGATCATAACAAGTCGGGCACTTAATTCATATTCTAAATATGACCTCTCGTCTTTAATGTAAAAGCTATATAACTAATTTAAAGATATTAAAATAAATTAGTTAAGTTTAAAATGTGTATTAACTTTCTTAAACTACCATCTTTAATAATGTAAAGTAAAACGATCTTTTAATGAGAACCCTTGCCATCAATATTTCAGAAAAAAAAAACATTATAAATTTTAGAAATAAAGAACATTGATATCTTATCTTTAGAACTAAATTCAATCTTTAATAAGTTCTTATATGTTAATTCAATTCTACTGTGATCAAAACATCAGTGATTGACGGTCCAGGAAGTCCAAATTATAATCATTTTATTCAAACAAAGTCTATCAAAGGCTGCTTCACATTCCAATTCCATGGATCTCCAATTCAAGAATGTCGTGCTTATGTACCAAAAAAAAAAAAGCGTGTTTTTTCCCCTCCAACTTTTGAAGCAATGCCTATGGCCTATATAAACCCAAACACGCTAACACGACTTCCTTCCACAAACCATTTCAAGCAAATAATATTAACTGCTTATTAATTCCATGGATCATCACAAACCAACCATTCACATCGCCGCCATCTCAATCCCAGCGTTCAGCCACCAAGCCTCCATTCTTCAATTCTCAAAACGACTAGTTCATCTCCATCCTCACTTACAGGTGACCTGCATCTTTCCCACCATTGACTCTCCACCTGATCCCACCATCGCCATTCTTCAAACTCTCCCTTCGTCCATTCACTGCATCTTCCTCCCTCCCATCTCCAAACACGACCTTGTCGATCCCCAACACAACAGTACTCCCCCACCTGCTGTTCAGATCCAACTCGCAGTTTCTCGATCTCTTCCTTCTCTCTGCGACGCCCTCAAATCGCTGCGTTTCGGCTCGTCGTCGCCGTCGCCGTCTTCCCCACCGCCACTTGTCGCATTAATCACAGATCCTTTTGCTAATGAAGTTCTTGAAATTGCCAAGGAGCTTGATCTCTTGTCCTTCGTGTACTTCCCTCCTTCCGCCATGACGCTTTCTCTGTTCTTGAACTTGCCCAGGCTGGATCAAGAGACTTCGTGCGAGTATAGAGATTTGAAGGATCCGATCGAGATCTTTCCGGGGTGTAGTATTCCAATCAACGGTCTCGATCTTCCTGAGCATCTTCAAGATCGATCTAGTCTCTCTTACGAGCTTATCCTTCAACGTTGTAAACGCTTTCCTCTTGCCGATGGCTTCTTGGTCAACACCTTCTTTGAAATGGAACACAGGACAGTAACAGCTCTCCAAAACGTGTTCCCCATCGGACCGATTGTTCAAGCCGGGTCAAGTACTTCAGAAAACGGGTCGGGTTGTGTGGAATGGTTGGAAAATCAAACCCCTCGATCTGTTTTATATGTTTCATTCGGAAGTGGGGGGACACTGAGCGGGGAACAGCTCAATGAGTTAGCTTTGGGGTTAGAATTGAGTGGTCAAAAGTTCTTATGGGTCGTTAGAAAACCAAGCGAATCAGCGAATTCTGCTTATTTGAGCGACGAAAAACAAGATTCATTGCAGTTTTTGCCATCAGGATTCATAGAGAGAACAAAAGAACGAGGTTTAGTAGCGTCATCGTGGGCCCCACAAAGTGAGATTCTCAGACACAGTTCAACGGGTGGGTTCTTAACACACTGTGGTTGGAATTCGATCCTGGAGAGCATTGTGTGTGGGGTGCCGATGATGACGTGGCCGTTATTTGCAGAGCAGAAGATGAACGCCGTTTTGCTGACAGAAGGGCTTAAGGTAGCTTTGAGGCCAAAGGAGAATGAAAGAGGGATAGTGGAGAAAGAGGAGATTGCTGAGATGGTGAGAAGATTAATGGAGGGGAGAGAAGAAGGCAATGGGATTCGCAGAAGAATCGAGGAATTGAAAGATGCTGCTTCTTCTGCTTTGAAGAAGGATGGGTCCTCTACAAAGGCACTTTCTCAAGTTGTTGATCAAATTCAAGTTGAAACTTTTTGGAGGCAAAAACAGAAATATTGAAATTGCGCCTTTTTTTTGTTAAGGATCTTTGTTTTTGTGTCTTTTCAATCATTCAGTTTTTGTCCCAATTCTAATGAGTACGATATTTTTGAATTTTTTGCATATTAACTGTTTAACTTTTGGCTAAATTTTTATTTTGATAAAAATACATTAAGCTTGTATTTAGATATATCTGGGTAAGGCTGCATATCTAATTTGATTTTGTGATTTTAAATTCATAATCAGTTCTTATATTATTCATAACATCAACATTTATAAGAGAATATAAAATATTTAAGAATAAAATTTAGTTCAAATTACTTATTCTCATAAGTTAAGTTCTCTAATCACACTTATTATTTTTGTTATTGTTAATTATTAAAATGTGTGTGTATATATATATATACTTGTAAATTTATGTATGAACACTTATAAATTTTTTTCAGAAAATCCTACAGAGTAAATTAGGATTTATAAATTTTTCTAGAGGTACTTATTTTGTTAATATTAATTGTTAAAATACTTGTGTAGAATCATAAATTTATCTATGAAATATGGCTTTTTTTAATTGTCATTGTTAGTTACTAAAATGGGTATGTTTAATTATAAAGTTACATATGAATTTAGATAACTTGTTAAACATTTTTATTTCTATTCTCAATACCCATGCTTTGATTATACATAAATATTTTAATTTCTTATTTATCAAGATAACATTCTTTTCAAAGATGAAAAAAGAAAATCCACCAATAGCTTACAAGGAAAATATTACAATTGTTAAGTTAACTATTGAAACGCAAAGTCGATAGCCAAAATCATTCGAGGCACATGATGTATTAAAATGCTCTAAATAAAACATCCATCGAAAAACTTGTTTGAGGCACAAAAGCACATATTAAAATTGGTTATGACCTTTATATTTATTTTTCATATATTCATACTTCTACAATTAAGAGGATCTGTTCAATAACTGGTAAAAAAGTCAACAGATTGCCTTAATAGCATCACTGACATTTTAAGCTCCGGCTTTTGTATTTATTTGTAGAAAATTAAAAAAAAAAAAAACAGAAAGAGCTAATGAAGTCCAAAGTGATATTCCATATGACATTTCTAGTGGCATCTCACACGGCATTAATTGTCCCCGTGGCATCCTAAGCCGCTAAGCGGTATCCCACAACACGATCTAATTTCTAGTGACACATTCACTCAAAAAAAGACAAAAAATCCAGCGACCCAGCAGGCAAGTAGAAGGCTCAATGACCACTGACTTGTTTCAGACCCTAAAGACAATAGGGCTTTAAAGTAAGATCCATCAAGACCACTCAATTGTTTAAGAGTCCCAATTGATAGTGGGCTAGCTAGTGTGATTGAAGGCGAAGAATTAGGCTTGCATTAAAGAAGGCCGTACTTGGAGGGATAATGGACACCAATGACATGTTTGATTGTTTTAATTTTGCTCTAAACTCATTATATATAAATGAACATGTCATGTAAAGTGACCTTTCCCAAGGGACACACCACTACAAACTTAATGCATTTTTCTGCCAAAGTAAAACTTCCGTATCATATTTCGAACTATTTCGGTGACGAAATAGATTTTAAGCTTGTTAAAGGCAAAACCTGGAATTATATGTAAATGAACATGTCATGTAAAGTGACCTTTCCCAAGGGACACACTACAAACTTAATGCTTTTTTCAGCCAAAACAAAACTTCCATGTCATATTTCAGGCTATTTCGGAGCTGAAATGGATTTTAAGCTTGTTAAAAGCAAAATCTGGAATTATATAAATAATGGAAAAATCATGGCTCGAAAAGTTTTGCACACACATAATACATACACATGTATACATAGAGCGGGCTAACAGTGGAGATAGTGGGGATGCGGGCCAGTCCACCGCAATGTAGGCCGAATGCGGTGCTGACCGAAGTAGCTCGAACCAGCCCGCCAACTCGCCTAATTTTTTTTTTTAAATCTATTATATTAGTATGAGTTAGGCTTAGTTTAAAATGTTAAAATTAGGCTCCGAGTCTTAAACTTGAGTAATGGGTTATGATAAAAAAAAAATATGAGAATTAATTTATAATTTTAAAAGATATTTAGGAAAAACTAACATATATTTTTTTTATAAATAATTAATTTAACTAGTTTTCTTATCCAAATTAATTAAGTAAATCTTTTATATGTATTTATGACTATATGAGAATTACATGTTCATCTAATCTTATGAAGTCGTGTATAATAACAACAAATAGATATAAAAATACAAAATGGACGGTGCTCTTTATATAACCATACACATATATATAAAGTGCTTAATTAATTATATATATAATGATACAAATGAGGTAATGTCTATATGAAATTTGAAAGTCAAAATCCTCTAACTATATTATTTAATGTATTAAAAAATCAGAAGAAAAAAAGTAGGCTGGCCTGCCAATCCGCAGGCTAAAAGCAGTACGGACTAGAGTAGCCCACACCGTGGTAGGCTAGCAAAACGCCAACCCGAGCCCGCTTTTTTTGGCGAGCTGGCAGTGAGCCCAACCCGTATTACCGGCTCTACGTATATATATAGACGGATACACAAGAGAGCTCCCACTGAGAAGCTCATTGTATCCAATCTTCATCAAGTTAGCCTTTCGTCCAGTCTTTAAAATCTAATGACTATGATAGTCTCTAGTTACCGTTTTCTTATTTCTTAATCTCCTGTTAGAACTGCAAAGAAATAAATTAAAAGAGCTAAGAAAGCAAAAGTAAGTACCTTGTTTAACCTTCTTAAAGAAAGCGATTTTGTACTGTTCGCATTTTACATAAATCTTTCTTGTAGATTGTTCTTGCATTAGTTACATCTTTGTTACCCTGCTCAAACCGACTTGGGTAGGTCTCATCAAAATTCCCAAATATTGCTTTTGATGCGATTAGCTGCACAAACAAACGTCTTCTGTTTCGAAGTATCTAGACATTTGAACAAATTTGATATCTATGCAACCGTCTAATGTCACTTATTTTCTCTTCTTTTTTTTTCCCCCAAAATCCATACACAAGTTTAATGGAAGTAGCAAGACCTTTTACTGTGGCTTCTGCAGAATAATGACCCGATGATGCCCAATACGAGTCTCACTGATACGGCCAAGGTGACGAAGGACCTGCATAAAGGCAAATAGCACATTTATAAAATTTATTTTCAAATAACAGCATATTCCACTAAGTACTTCCAATGATCCACATTCAGGTATGACAGGCAGATCTACCTGGAAAAGACTGAAATATGTAGAGGGATGGGAGGATAATGACAATTAAAAGAACAATCAGATTTGGCAGTATCAACTTGAGCTCATTTGATTAATACTACCTCCGGTCCTTAATATAAGACCCCGTTTGACTTTTTGTTTGGTCCTAATTATAAGACCCCAATCCACTTTGTCTCTCATATTTATATATTTTTTTCTAAAATAGCCCTTCTAACAATAATAGTTCTAGTCAATCACTTGATTAGTAAGGATCTTTTAGGAAAGACAACAATTATTCAGGACAAATAACTAACTCAACTTGCTTCCTTAATCTCCTCAAATAAGTCAACTGGGTCTTATAATTAGGACCAGAGGTAGTATGATGTCAAAATTGTCTAGCATTAAACACAGAAGACCTACGAAGCATAAACATGTAAAAAACGCAGACTTGTCCACGTCAGTTTCTAGTTAGTTTTAGATCCCTGTATTAGACTCGACTCAGCCTCAAATATATGGAAACTAGAAATTAGGACTTTTATGGACCAAGACCATCAAGGCTTATGGGCTTAAAGGTAAGAGAAAAAAGGAAGAATAGCCAATCTGAATCTAGCGAAGTAGGGAGGGCGAATCAGGAAAAGTAAGCAAGTCTGTAGAAAAGAGATATTTGGGAATCATCCAGCCACCGCTGTCATTTTCGTCTGTTTCTTCCATTGTAACATTGAACAACCACTACATTGATTTTTTCCATATTTTACTGGTTCTGTTGACTATACTTATAGTGCAGGTTCCATCAGAGTTCCACAACATTCACGTGATAATCCCATTCAAATAATTTTGCTAGCTACAAAACAAGCTTATCTTCAACAAAATCACAGGATGGAGACAAGACATTCACCGTCAGAATTGCTTTTCCAGTGTTATCAAGCTTCAAATTTGGACCTTTTATGTCAGCCTCGAGGAAAAAGTGTTTCCCCTTTATTCCTTCCATAGCTGCAATATCTCTTAATTCCTGAATTTTTTTTTTATCACAATTGAAAGTTGGCATAAATCAAATCATAATTGCAATGGTTAAAACATCAAAGCATGGACCTAGAAACCGCACATGATTGTTTCAGGTGGGTTTTTCCCTTGGCCCACTGCTTCAGGTAGAGTTGGGATATGGAAATTAATATTGCACTCACCAAGGCTTTCTCCAAAATATTTTCTGCCAACTTCATCACCAGAAAGAAATTTGTCAGTGCAATGGAAAATTTTGACAAATACAGTTTAAAACTAAAATGAAACTCAACCTTTTTTCTGGGGGCAACAATAAGTTGAGCATTTGCTTCAGCATAAGATGCCATATCATTAATTGCTGCATTCACCTTTTCTAGAGTAAGCCTACCTCTCATGTATCTGCACTATCAGATATTTAGGCACAAAATCGAGATAATCATATTTTTACTTTCATCAAGATATATGATCATGAAAATAGATGGAAGATGTATATAATAAAACATGCTACCTCCAATCCTTAATACAAAAGCCAGTTGACTAATTTGAAAATATTAAAAAAGTTATTAAATTACTTAATTATAGCATATGTTACATGATCTCTCTAAAATATTTATGTGTATTATTATATTATATATCATTTTATAAGTAAGGCAAATTATTTTGAAGAAAAATATTAAATATAAATATTTTAAAGTAATTTAGTAATTTTATTAATCTTTCCAAATTAATCAACTAGGTCTTATATTAAGGACTTGAGGTAGTACAACAGTTTCACCAAGGACTTTGCTCCACTAATTAAAAACCGTGTCCCCAGTCCTCATGAGGGTTTGAATCCCCCTTCGCATAGTAGTCTCACTATGCGGTCAACCCTTTCAAGGTGATTCCGAGGGATTCAAGGACTAATTGAAAAGCCTCCATGCAAGAACAAAATGGTTCCCACAGGAAACTCTCTGGGATCTCTACCTACCCCTCTAATATCCCAAACATACACTGGTGCTCTATGATCTTTCGGACCCCAATGTATACAGGAGTATACTCTAATATCCCAAACATACACTGGTGCTCTATGATCTTTCCGACCCCAATGTAAACAGGAGTATACCCTTCTTGACAACATTTTACAACAATGTAGCTTGCAATCCTTGCGGAGTGTTGAAAGTAATATTAATTTAAGAAACAAGCGCCCTGAAAGCATGAAGGAATGGCCTTGGCTGTTCCAGGGACATCAGAGAAATTACTGCTACAGACTTTTTTTTTCCTCAGCCATTTTCTTGCTATTTTATTCACAGTCCATTATTACGCCAAATCATTAATTTTTACGATCATGGTGGAAGATATAAATCAGTAGTCATTTACAGGGTGCATATACATATTATCTGGCTGAATTCATACCAAAGGTGTATTGAAAATTGAAACTTCGGAATGAAAGATAAGCTTAGTTACTTACGATGACAAGGAATCTAGTTCACTTCCAGTGATGTGCCACAATGGTGGAGATCCTCGACCCTTTTTCTCCTGAAAAGGTGATAGAACGAGACCAAAAAAAAAAAATGAGATCTCACTTCAAGTGGAGAGGCAAAGACAGCGTGTTAATAAAGAGTTTCAAAATGGTAATAAGAAAGGGAAGAACAAATTACGGCATGCATTAGTAAGAGCATATTTGCAATTTGAACTAATAATATTTGGGAATAGATGAGGGGATTGAAGTGTGGAAAAGAAATGCATAAGCCATCAAAGAGGTTTTGCCACTGTGTCCAAATTCGTTCCATTAGAAAGCTTTAAGCCTTAAAACATTAGGTGGTAGTTAAAAAATTATGTTTCTAACATTTCATGTTGATAATAATTTCCTGTCATGCGTTTCAATTGGACAGCACTTGCATATGCATATAGTTGTTCTGTTCCCTCGGTGAGATGAATAAGTCAGAGTGACTATAACCAAGTTTAAAATCCTATGCAGGCAACAACGAATAAAATTGGTATGCATTCTTCGAATGTAAATTATGGATTTCAAGCTACTCATCGAATAAGATTTTTACAAGGAACTGAAAAATATGGTTGTTCCATGGATTAGCCTCAAACAGTAATTAGAAACAAGAAGGTAGAAGTATAACATAAAACAATTGATGTGAACAACGAAGCAGAAGGCATATTTTATGTAGACTGAGAATTTCTGAGTCTTGAAATATGAGGGACAGGGACCATTTTGGATGTGAAAAACTGCAAGAGGTGGAACTGATTTGAGCCACTCCCTATTTTCGTTTGATTTAATTTGATATTATTCAATGTTATGGGAGTAGCATCAACAGAACTGATAGATACATACAGAGCATACATCATGTACGACATAGCAGCATACACATTATGCCATGATATGCGTGTGTTTATGCCTGTACGTATATGTGAGTGTTTAAACAAACCATTCTTGAACTATGAAAGAAAAGAGAATGGTTTCACCAGAGTGTAGGGGCAACTTGAGGTACTGAACAACCACTCCAAATATTTCAATCTTGCACCAACTATTTCTTATGTCATTAACCCATTTTATAAATAGGAATAGTAGATTTCATTTACCTTAGGTAATGCTGCAGTCTCCTCTTCAAGTTTTAGGGACCCAACTCCAGGCTCTTGTCCAGAAACTTCAGGAAATAAACTGACAAACAACACTTTAGAGACCTCAAGTAAGATGTACTTTAACAAATCATAAGAAAAAGGAAAAAATGCAGCTACCATCTATTAGTTTCCGAATTTGACGTTATTGCTCTATCTGGCACAAGTGAGGGAACGTGAAGAGACATGTTCTGCAATTTCTTTTGCTGCTTCAGTGATGCGTTGATGAGTTTCTACAATCAAGTAGATAAACCCAATGTAGTGGTCATTAATTCAGAGCATGGAACTATTTGATCAATGTCACTCAATTACAGACTTCTGCCACATTGAAGTGCAAAGAACACAAATTAAACAAAATAATCCCTTTTGCTTTATTGTTTTCCAAACCATAGGAAGAAAAATGATTAATCAGAGGCAAAATCCGTTAAATAGTGCATTTACGAACTATGATTACTTTGTTCTTTTATGCTCCGGCGCTCCATTCACTTTTGGTTGACACCCGCTTTGGAGGAATAATTCAATCTCCAATAGTATAAACTCCAAATGAAGCAATATTTAGGTAAATGAATTTTCCTTGTATCACTATCAGAACAGATCAAGAAATAAATATTTCAAATTTTTGTTTTTTTCCCCGGTCACTAATGCTATCATAGCACGCAGGTTGACTCACTTATTCCAAGATTTACATCAATGAATATTTCTCCTCATTTTTAGGAAGTTAATCAAAAGCAATACCGAGATCCAATTAAGCAGTGTGCTGCTTCTCTGAGCTCTCGGCCCATCACTTCAAAGTAGCAATTAAAAAGTAAAGAAAATGTCAACCGAGTTCTAGAATCGATCCCACAAACAGGCGCATCTAAAGCATATGTTGAAAAAGATAAATTCGAAGAAAATTCGATGCCTGATGGCGAAAACGATTATCCTCAGTTGATCATATTTACAGATAGTCTCATTCAAACCCTAATTATTTCTATTCCGTCAATAAACCAGAGTGAGAAGTAGAGATGCCTTGGCTTTAGGAATAGCTTCTGCCTCTTCGCGTAACCGGTCCTTGATGGCCTGCACTTGAAGCTCCAGAGTTTTCAGCGCAGTATCCACCGCCGACAGATCGGTGATACTGCTCGCTGGATACACTACAAAAATGAAAAATAAGAAAATGCGTAAAATATATGCATTATTCAAAGAAAAGGAAAACGAATAACACACAACTATAGGAAATGTGAATGAACCACTCACTGTTTCTTCCAATTACGAGCTCTTGAAGCTCGGTAATCCGAGCGTTGAAGGAAGAGATCAACGAATCAAGAGACGACCCAGCTTTTTTCACATCCATTTCTCCTCTGTGATTCAAATTCGACCCATCTGTTACTCTTTTCAGACTGACTGTAATTTAAACTCTTGCAATCAGCTTCGGCGGGAATGTTCAGGAATGCGACTAAAGTAAAACACTTTCTTTTTTTTTTCATGGGAAAAAAAATGTTCCATTTTTCAAGTTCATTTTTTTTTACCAAAATTTTTCAAGTTTATTGGTATCTTGGAAATAGGCATTTAATTAATTTGATAAGACTATGGAAAAATTTTACTTAATTATCTCCCTAAATATCACATAATACTATATTATATTCCTCTAGTACTATTTATAGGACAAAAAAATAAGACAGTTTTTTGTTCTATTTATAAGGTACTGAAAGAAATTATTTATATAGATGTACAATTTTACCCTTCATTTATTATTGTGTTGATTTTGTTTATATCACATCCTATTAATTTTAACCCTAGAAATGAGAAATATAAAATAGACCAAGGATCAAGCAAGGTAGTAGACAAATAGACTGCACAACTTTTGAACTAAAACCAAACCAGGGACGAGACTGTCATTTTTAAAATATCCGATTAATATTGAACAGAGTGGAATGTATCCAAAATTTTAGAAAATTTCTGAAAAATCATTAAAAAAAATAGAATGAAGGGCCAAAAACAGTATTTGAGGCATGAAAGATGAAAATAGTATGAAAATAATTTATTATGAAACTTTCTGTATTTTCATGAAATTTTGGCTAATTAAAACAAAATTGGCCAAATTAAATTATTTAAAATATATAGTGGCCTCAATAATTTATGAAAAATTAAAAAAAAAATTTGAGAGGTTATTATGAATTTTAAAATTATTCTCGACCTCTGAAAATGCATAGGTTAGCTTTAAATTATTTAAAGCTAAATTATATCGGTAAAAGGATGATTTTAGGAAAAATTTAATTGAATGAGTTATAAGGCAAAATAAAATCTAAGAAAATTATAGAACCCTCTCCTCATCAAAAGGAAGCTATTAGCCTAAGGAAATAAATTTTTGGAGATAGTAATTTAACAGGATTCAAGAAAATTTAACCGATATCATGAGATTATATAGTGCAATAACCATAAGCTTGGTGGGGCAAAATTTTCCCTTATTTTTTTGGTCAAGATGGTGCCAAATAAGGAGGGAGAGGACCTAAGTGAAATAATACACTTTGTTGAAGGATAAAATTAGAAGATTATAATTATGAATCAAAATAGAGATTTTTACACATGTGTACTTATGTGTCTCTTGACACCTAAAGGGGGTATGTGGCGTGATCTTGAGGAAGAAGAGATAGGATGAAGCGATGTGTGATGTGGTGAAAGTAAATGATAATTTAGGTTACCGCATGGTAACTGTTTAAGGCCAGGTTTATATATACCACTTCCTCTTCTCTTTAGTCACTTTCTTGAGGATGAAGAGATAGGATGAAGTGATGTGTGATGTGGTGAAAGTAAATGATAATTTAGGTTACCGCATGGTAACTGTTTAAGGCCAGGTTTATATATACCACTTCCTCTTCTCTTTAGTTACTTTTTCAACCAACATTGGAGCTTGGAGGAGTAGACCATTCGTCCAAGCAAGGAGGAAGAAGGAGGAGGAGAAGAACAAGGCAAATCAACATGGTTTCAAGTCCTAAATCAAGGTAAAAGCTTGGCTATCCTTCCTAGTCCATGATATTCTATAGATTGATAGTTGTAGACATGGTTTTGATGGAGTTTGATGGTGGTAAACCTTGAGGATGGTTTCTATTGATGGAATATGATTGATTCTAAGTTTATATATGGATTAGGGGATAGAAAATGGTAAATTGATTGTAATTAAACCTCTTTATTTGAAAGATTTCAACTTGTGTAATTATGTAATATTGTTGAACCAGAGCTAGTTCACCATGTTAGGGTTTGATTTTTGTTGTTTTAATGTTTCCAATGAGTTTAGAAGGCAAATTTATGTAGGGTTATGTGGAGAATATGTGTTTGGAAGCATAGAATTGAAAATGAAATTTTGGAACCCTAAAACCTACCTCTCAGCCAAGATGAAAGGTGAGGAAAAGAGTTGGATTTTGATAAATCTAAATTCATATATGGATTCTACATGAAAAGTAATCGAGGAAAAGTATATAGGAATTATGTTAAAGAAGATAATACAAAAACCCTAAAATAAAGGTTAAAGGGTTAGGGTTTTAGCGTTAAGTATTTAATGGATAATGTAATTGATTTAGAATGCCATTATTCTTGTTGTTTAATAGGCATTATTGTTGAGCAAGAGAGAGATCAAGGACAAGAGCAAGAGGCTAGGCCATTTGATCAAGAGCATTAAGAGGTGGCATAGAACTTATAATTTGATGTTAACTTGCTTGGTTTGTTGCTATGTATAATTCCTTGTTTATATGACATGGTGTGGTAGAGTCAGATAGATGGTAATGTTCTTAACTCCTTGCATTTTATGCCTTGCTTATATGCATTATTGAGTTGATTATTGGAATGGTATAATGCTCCCTTTCCATGGTATGAATGTTGATTGATACCTTGTGAGATCACATGTGACATGCCTTGCTTGATTGATATTGTAATTGTAACTCTTTGTTGCTGAGATTTTCATAAAATCTCACCTTCCTTTATGCTCAAATTAACACCATTAGGGGGCTGCAAGTGCTTAAGGAAAAGGCAAGGAACTAGCCCTAGCTTGAGGAATGGATTAATATGCTTACGTGAACAATAAGTTACAATGTTGTAATGATTATAATTTTTGACGATTTGATGACTATTTGATGGTATGTAACATAAGTAGAGAATGGTTTTTAAATGATGAATTATGGTAAAAGAATGTCTTGAATTGTTATGGTAGAATTGTTTCAAGTTGACATTGAAAAGCATGAATTTGACCTAAAATGGACCAATATTTGACTCCATGTGATTCTGAGCAAATGAAGGAATTTGATCATAAAACTTGGCTTATCAATATATCTCATTTTTATCTTTAAAATGAGTGTTAATTCATTAAAATTAGAGTTTTGTACAAAAAGTTGTGTCTATCCAAAATTAGGCATAAATTTTGAAAATTAGAAAATTGACTATATGAACAATGCATAGTGACATGAAAACTGGGCAGACATGAGTTGAATTCACAATGTGGAAACATTTTTCCTCTAAATAGCTTTCTGTAAGCTTTAAGTAGAATTTGGAATCATCTCATTTTGATTTTTTTTAGAATTAGTTATGATTTTTCAAAGTTTTGCTAATTTTTAGGGTTGCAATGAATAGTAATCCAAGAAAGTTTATTTTAAAATTTAAAATTTTCCAACTTAAAGACTTATTGAATGGTTCCAATTGCTCCTATTTGATGTGAAAAGAGGTAAGAAATTAAGGTGTTACAGTTTACATGAGATATAATGTATATTAAATAGGGATAAAGTTGGAAAATTGTTGACTTTTAAATGAGAGTTAATAAAGTTTAAAGTTTTTTTTTATTTGTGTGAAAGATGTATGAAGTAACTTATAAATAGGACCATACAAATATTATAATTTAATTAAGTACACTACATTAGTTTAGAAAAAATAAATAAATATAAGAGATAAAATCAATTAAGGTTTTATATCAAACTAACTTCCTAATTAATTCCTACATGGCGAGTATATTTTTTATTAAAAAAATATTTAAGTCAGGCTTCCTATACTGCCTTTAATCATTAAGATAAGAGTTAGTTATATTTAATTTAGTCCTAAATATAATATATCAATCCACTTTATCTCTCTTATTTATCCATTTTGCCCTTAAATAATGCCTATAATAACTGCATATGATAAGGTGTTTTTATCAAAGGTAGTTTTAATGCACATAATTAATAAGGGTATTTTGAAAAAGATAGCATTAATTTATTACAAATGTTTAATTTAACTATTTTTTTAATATTTGCATATTTGTTATCTAGTGCTTATATTAAGAAGTGAAGATAGTATCCTTTATGTCTAGAGTCGTCAAAACGGGCTAAACTCATTAGGCCGGCCCTTTTAAGTCCGTTTAAGTGAAGGGCCAGACTTATATTTTAAGGTATTCAGAAGGAAATTGGACTTAAAAGGGCCAACCCGTGAGGGCTGAGGGCCAGCCTTTTTAAGCCATTTATTTTTTTAAAAAAATAAATAAATTATTTAAATAGCCCACTACTTTAGATTTTAGGAAATAATAGATAATAATAATTTAAATTCCAATTCAAATCTAAATCTAACTTAATATAAAAGATAATGATAGGAAGAGTTGGCTAATTTTAGATATCATTTTTTATTTAAAACAACATTAAGAAAGATAAAGATAAAATATCTAAATCAATCGTAATTAATATAATAGATATTTCAAATATCCTTATTCAAATAATTTTAATAAGATATCCTAAATATTATATAGATAGAACCTTAATTATCCATATCCTGTATTCTATTTATAGTTCACTCTCTCCCACATATTCACACCTCATTCTTGCTCTTGTTCTATTCGTCTCAAACTCTCAACGTGCCCAAAGTTTGTTATTACAGAATCCTTGAATTCAGTATGATTCTTATTGTCTCATGCTCTGTCTCTAGTTTATAATTAGTTAATTACATATTTATAGCTTTTAAGAATTAAAAGCCAAGAGGGAGAAATTTTAGTAGTTTAAATGAAAATGTAATATATTAATATGCAATAGTTTTATATTATAATGAATTTTATATTACTTTATTTGACTATTTTAGTATGATCTTTGATGGCAGCATGTCTTCCTCGCAAACTAGAAGTAAAGAAATCAATATGACTAGTAATAATCCCATAGCCATGAGTGATGATAGAACACAAAATAAGGCATCACTTGAAGAGACAAGTGAATCAAAGCTCAAAAGGTAGAGAAGTTTAACATCTGCTATTTGGAAGTATTTTAGTAAGGTTGATGTTGATGGGATACCTAAGGCAAAGTGTAATAGTTGTAAATCCTTATTAGCCATGGGTGGGTCTAAAGGAACTTCGCATCTAGGTCAGCATGTCAA